AAACTTTAAACAACCAACAAAAGTGTAATACAAACATTTTCATCACACATGAGGTGCATGACCATGAGACAAGATCACATAATAATTTGTACTACATTCCTGCTAGAACCAATATAGGATTAAACAACCCTGTCACTGATGCAGTAAAAACGTATAACAACCTACCAAATAATGTGAAAAAAGTACATGTATTCAGAAATTATGTAAAGATACTCAAAAGACACTTGAATTGTTGAATTTATTCTAGCTAAAATTCGCACTTTAAGTATTGTTGTTCTCGAGGCCAGTGTTTTAAACACAGATTAGAGAACTTTGTTTCCTATAAAATTTGTAAAAATTGAATATTGAATAAAGATTTGTTTCAAATAAAAAAAATAGAAGGTATGCGTTCGAGAAAAAGGAACTTTCATTTTTTGGGACACCCTAATGTCGCATCCTTGAGGCGTTGTCAGAAGTGTCAGGTTTGACACATGGTAAAAGTAAATATTTTTCTGTTTCTTGTAAATACGTCCAGCAATAATAATTTATTTTATTTTCATAAATAAATGGTCGCTTATTTCACTGGTCAACAAAATTTTAACTTTGTCGTGCCACACGCACTTTTTTGATATTTTTTACTTTAATTGGTGATTATAAGAAAAAATGAACAGTTAAAAAAATTTGCTAGACAAGGATTTTATTCTATTGAGTAATTTAAAATATTAAGAAAAAACACAGATCTCGTAAATCAAAAGTTATTTTTTTTATAAATGACTTAATAATCTAAGATTTTCTTGAATATTTAGCTTCTGGTTGGTCCCTTTTAATTGTCCAGCAGTAATCTGCTAACATATTTGGGCTCCATTTGCCCTGGTACCGCTTTTCCATATTAGAAATGTCCTGATGGAACCTCTCACCGTGCTCGTCGCTGACAGCCCCTAAATTGTCAGGAAAAAAAGCCAGGTGCGGTCTAAAAAATGGATCTTAAGTGACATGTTGCAACCCAATGCTTGATATGACAATAATAGCTCGCTAACCAACTCTCTGTAACTGTCACTCTTGTGGTTACCCAAAAAATTTGAAACAACATTTTTAAAAGCCTTCCATGCAGATGTTTCTAAATCGCTTAATTTTTCTTCAAATCTTGAATCTTTTATTAACTCCCTAATTTGAGGGCCAACAAAAATACCCTCGTTTATCTTTGCATCACTTATTTTAGGGAATTTTTCTTTTAGATACAAAAATCCACTCCCATTGCGATCCATTGCCTTCACAAAATTTTTTATTAATCCTAATTTGATATGCAATGGTGGTAGAAGCACATTATTTGGCTGTACAAGGGGTAAATACTTTACGTTTTTTTGCCCAGGAACTAACGATGCACGCGTAGGCCATGTTTTTTTTATATAGTGATTAGTTCTGTCTCGGCTATCCCATTCACATAAAAAGCAGCAAATCTTTGTATAACCCAGCTGAAGTCCAAGTAATAGTGCAACAACTTTAAGATCACCGCAGATTTTGAAGGAATATGTACTGTAATTTATTTTTTCAAGTAAAAGTTTCATATTTTCACAGGTTTCTTTCATATTTGCAGCATGGGCCAGAGGTACAGACGGAAGCTTATTTCCATTATGCAATAACACTGCTTTTAGACTTGCTTTCGAAGAATCAATGAATAAACGCCACTGAGAGAGATCAAAATCTATGTCCAACATTTTCATAATCTCATTTATGTTATTGCAAAACACCAAATCTCCATCCTGAGAAAAATACGTTCTAAAGAGTTGATCACGGTTTCGAAAATAGCTAACTTTTGTATTATGATGTAGCAAATTCCATTCTTTTAGACGTGATCCTAATAGTTCTGACTGCTTTTTTGACAAATTTAAATCCCGAACTAAATCATTTAGGCCTCCTTGAGTTATCAAATGTGGCTCGTTTACAATTCCTTTTAACTCAAAGTCATCGTCCTCGTCAACACATTCACCTGAAGTGGACGGTTGTGAATTGTTCTCAACAGACGTAGTTGCAACTGGTATTAGTTCTGGCAATTTTTTACAATGAGAGACTGGTCTTATAGCCGAAGATAAGTTAGGGTAGATAACTGTGGTTTTTTTCTTGTAATTTATACCTTTTATGTCTGTGAGACAAAAATAGCAATCTGAAACGTGATCTCGCTGTTCAGTCCATATCATGGGTACGGCAAACGGCATAGGTCGTGCACCTTTCTTCCAGTCAGTTAAATTTTTCACACACGTTATGCAACAGACATGAGGGGCCCAGGATTTGTCTTGATGGGCGATAGAAAAACCAAAACAGTGGTGATAACACTCCAACACAAGATTCGTAAAATTTCGTCGTTGTTTTTTGAATGTTAGTTCTCCGCAGACATAACAAAAAGAGTTAGGATCATTATTACACTTCCTCGACATATTCACAGGGTTAATAAATCACAAAAAAGTGTTCAAACTCAACAACAAATATTTTTATAAGGATTTACTTGTAAGCGTTTCTGTTAATTTACTGCCGTAGTACTAGTTATGAGTATTACCGTATCACAACAAATATGAGGCTAATAGACATATGACAGCTGTCATGTAATAATGAGGGTAGACTGATAAAACAAAATTAGCTGTCAAAGTTCGTGTGGCAAAACAAAGTGTTGACCAGTGATTTTTGGACAAACATATTCCTTTTTATTATTGGCGGCCGGTTATGATACTGACACGACAGTTTCGTAGCTGATTGTTATCTAAGCTGTGGTATACTTTATCTGAAGTCACTTGAAACACTGTGAAATACCGGGTGCGTTTTATATATCTATATTTAACACGCTCTGTTGCTGCAAAAATCGCCAAATTTCGCAGCAAATATCCCCCGTATAAGATCAAAGGCAGTTTCACCGGTCCACGTGGAGTAAAGCACGCCTATGCGTGGACATAGCCAATGAGAAAGCGTGTATTTTAGAGCTCCGAACAAGTGCAGGTGGCTACTGAAAATTGAAACAGTTTAGCCAGTGTCGTGTAGCGGTGAATAAACGTGTTTTCTTTAGTCTGTCCGTGTTTTTTCATAGGTTTTATTAGTTTGTGTGTTTTTGACTTTTGAATACTCAGTTTACTTGTTGATTTAATTGTTGTGTTGATTGTTCTTGTGTGTCCTAAATATGGCTCTTTGGAGACCTTGGGAAAATGCTCCAAGCCACGAGGAGATGGTTGATGAACCTGTGCAGGCAGAATTCTTTCATAAAGATTTAGAGGAACAGACTCAAAGAGTAATCCTAAATATGTATGATTGTCTGAAATACGAAAATCCAGATTCCTCGCAAAATCAAATTTTAAACAGAATTTGTATCCTGACAAAAATCAGTCGGTCTACCATTTATCGGGTTATAAAAAGGGGAGATGTAGTCAACCATTCCTTCCACAGAAAGCGCATAGGGCAAAAATTAAAAAGAATAGACGTGGGTTTTCAGGAAGATATTCGTCGTATAATATACGGATTTTATAAAGAAAATTTGGTGCCCACGTTGGAAATGATACGGGATAAATTAAAAGAATATCCTGAAGATTTTTATAATTACAAATGCTTAGACTCACTGCACTGTATTGTAAAACTGTGTGGTTATCAATACAAAAAATTAGATAAAAGAATGGTGATTATGGAGTCGTCTCGAATCGTTGAACTGCGCCAAGAATTTTTGCACAAAGTTAAAATCTATAGAGAGCAGAAAAGAAATCTGATTTACCTGGATGAAACGTGGTATGATACCCATGATGTTGTGCAGTACGGCTGGGTTGACGACAGCAATAAGTGCATTTTAAATGCACCATGCAACCGTGGAAAACGAATCATTATTCTCCATGCTGGCAGTGAAAATGGATTTATACCTAATGCCTTGCTGTTATCTGCCAAAAATATCAAAAAATCATGTGCCGACTATCATGAGGACATGACCTCCGACTTATTTGAAAAGTGGATAGAGCAGCAGTTAATACCAAACATTTCCCCAAATTCAGTGATTATTATGGACAATGCGCCATACCATTCCCGACAGAAAAACAAAATTCCGAATACAGGCACAAAAAAACAAGACATTGATTTTATGAAGGATAAGTGAATGGAAATACCACAAAAATCAACCAAAGCCATATTATTGGATCTTATTAAAAGACAAAAATTTGAAAAAGAGTATGTTGTTGAGAATCTGCTTCAGCAAAATGGCCATGAAGTATTACGTCTACCTCCCTATTACTGCATTTTTAACCCGATTGAGTTGGTCTGGGCTGCTTTAAAAAAAAAGTAAGAAAACATAATCAGACCCCTCAATTAAGTGAATCGCTATTGGCCACAATACGAGATGCAGTATCTCATATTGCTGCCACAGACCTATGGAAGCAGTGTTCTAGGCATATTATTGAAAAAGAAAATGAATATTGTGTTTTGCCTCCTGTAAATCCCGTTGTAATTCCTCTACAAGATGACTCTAGCGACAGCTCCGAAGGCGAGGATTATATATAAATACCTCTAATGTAAGTCTTTATATACCTTTTTATATACCTACCTGCTATGTAAATATTTGCCTATGTCAAACGTTGGAATTCTGTAATTTTTCCATTTCTTAACTTTCAGTCAACATAAATTAAACTCCCAATATAAGTATTTTTTATCCCAAATCAAAAAAATAAGAAGATAGTAAAATCCATTTATTGTGATATAAAAACATTATTATTATCGTTCTAAATAAATGACCGCACGCCTATGGTACGTCATGAAATTACAAAGGACGCGCCGACCAAAGGTTTTTATGCTATTTCAAGTGACTTCAGATAAAGTATACATACGTGCTAAAGCTCCTCGCGTTACATAGCTAATCACTGTCAAGAGCCTATACGCACGAACTAGCAATTTGGATTTTTTGTAATTTGAGATCCATGCTGCTTTTCAAATGAGGGTATCTAATTGATTTTCTATAGGTGCAGAGCTGCTCTTGATTACCTTTTATCCCCAACTTGTTTTTCCAGAGACTCCATATCCCGGCGACGAAAAAGACTTGAAAGGTATGATGGTAGAACGGCAACAACCCTTACCACCCGGTGTAGACATGCCACCACCACCGCCGCCCAGTGAGCCCCCAGAGCCCGTTCCACAACCAGGAGACCCGCTGAACTCCGCCTTGAATTCCTTCTACTCAGATATCGCTGCTCTGAGCACTGATCTGCCTGTACCTTCCGCGGCACAAGAGACGCCTGCGGACCATCCGCCTCTAGTTGTTGCCAGCACCGAACAGCCGGCGACAGAAGGCGTTAAGAAGAAAAAGAAAAACAAGGTGATTTTCCTGACATATTAAAACTCGCTACGGTAAAACCTATATTCAAAAAAGATGAACGTTGACAACTATCGCCAAATATCGATATATGGTAACATATCTAAAATATCTAAATTGCTAGAGCAAGTCATGTATCATAGACTATATAATTTCGCTGAAAAATTTGCTATACATATTCAATTCATCTCAACATGAGTTTAGAGCAGAAAGATCTATTGAAACTGCTAGTTGTCACTTACTAGAACAACAAACTTGATAATTGCGAATATCTTGTGTCCTTGCTTTTCGATCTATCTAAGGCATTTGACACTATAGATAAAAATACAGGGTGTAAACGTTATGATAGTCATTATTTAAATGGGTGATAGAGGAGGTTAAAAGAACCAAAAAGTTTCATATAACATGGGGGTCAAAACGGCATTTTTTTAGAGAAAAGCTACATTAAAGTAAAATAAAATCTGAGAACGCCGCAATGCCAGACGCAAATGACGACGGAACGCAGTGTAAATAAAATTGGAGTTTGTTATGTTTGGCTCTTAGGTACTATTTCATTATTTGATAATGTACTCCTAAAATGCAAAAAATTTAAAAAAACGGACTTACCACTAACTGTCTCAGCGCTTCACCTGGTGTGTGAAAGTTTATTGAACGTATGAAAAAAATCCACTTATAAATAGGGAACACAATTTTGATGCATACATTGTTTTTCTTTTTAAAACCCACACTGCACTTTTTGTATTTAAAGATGATGTAATCGGCATGACTGTGTTACGGTATACATACGTGTACATTTGTTACGTGTGTGGTGATGTGACTTTTGCATCTCAGAGACGGTCTATTACTCCACTAATAACAAAGGCATATCATCTTTATTTCGGTTGTAAACTAGGTGATCAAGACAAACAGTGGGCACCCCACATCTGCTGTAATACATGTGCTTCAAGTCTGAGGAGCTGGTTAAATGGCAAAAAACGGTCTATGCGCTTTGCTGTCCCAATGGTTTGGAGAGAGCCTACAAATCATATTAATGATTGTTACTTTTGCATGGTACCTTGTGTTGGACAAGCCACAGGTATGTCCAAGAAAAAAAAATCGGTTATTAACTACCCAAACATACCATCTGCGATGAGACCTGTGCCTCACAGTTACGAAAATCCTATTCCAAAACCCCCAGAATCCTACACTTGCGAATCAGAAAACGAATCAGATCATGGCGATCGAGTGATTCGTCAGGAAGAAGATATGCCATCAACGTCAAGAGATCCTGATTTTATACCGAGTACGTCATGCCACCAACCGCACAAAATAAGACAGTCAGAATTAAATGATCTTGTAAGAGATTTAGAACTTCCAAAATGTAAGGCAGAGTTACTTGGATCAAAACTGCAGCAGTGGAACTTGTTAGAAGACGATGTTTCGGTATGTGTTTTTCGTAACCGCCACAAAGACTTAGGACCATTTTTCAATATGGAGGATAACTTGGTTTTCTGCAGTAACATTAACGGCTTACTGGCGGCTTTAAATATAAACTATAACCCAGAAGAATGGAGATTGTTTATAGACAGTTCAGCATTGAGTTTAAAGGCAGTGTTATTGCATATTGGAAATATTTTACCATCTCTTCCTGTAGGGTATGCAGTACACATGAAAGAATCATATGACAATATGAAGTACCTATTGACATGCATAAAATACGATGAGCACCAATGGCATATTTGTGGCGATTTGAAAGTTGTTGCAGTTTTACTTGGGCTGCAGCTAGGCTACACAATGTTTTGCTGTTTTTTGTGTGAATGGGGCAGTCGGGCAAAGGCACCTCATTACACCAGACAAAACTGGCCTGTTCGTCAATTCCTAGAGCCAGGTCAAAAAAATGTACAGCATATGCCATTAGTAGATTCGAAAAAATTTTTATTACCACCACTGCATATCAAGTTGGGCCTAATGAAAAACTTTGTCAAGGCATTAGATAGAGATGGGTCAGCTTTTCAATACCTGCGTCAGAAATTTCCAAGACTAAGTGAGGCAAAGGTTAAAGAAGGTATTTTTGTTGGGCCACAGATTCGAAATATTTTGAAAGATACACAGTTTGAAAACACTTTAACATGTATTGAAAAAACTGCTTGGAATGATTTCCGTCTGGTGGTCACTAATTTCTTGGGAAATAGAAAAGCAGACAACTATAAAACCCTTGTCAAAAATATGCTGTCATGGTATCAAAAGATGGGCTGTAATATGTCTCTTAAGATACATTTCCTACACTCACACCTGGACTTTTTTCCTGACAATTGCGGAGCCGTAAGTGATGAGCACGGCGAACGTTTTCATCAGGATATTTCAACAATGGGAAAAAGGTACCAGGGAAAGTGGAATCCTTCCATGCTTGCAGACTACTGTTGGACTCTTGGTAGAGATGCTCCAGAAACGATCCATAAAAGAACAGCAAAAAGACAGCGCATATAGTGATTCTTATAAGTGTCTGAATCTTGTTACTTTTTTTAATATATCCTTAAAAATAAAAAGTTTTTTTTCTAAACCGCAACTAATTTTTTTATTTCATTGTCATTTTTGGATTCAGCGCCCCAAAATTAACAAAGAAGTGCACTTTTCCCACAAGATACAATTAAAAAACTAAAATTTGTTGTCCAGTGTTATCTGATCGTCAAGAACCCGCCCAAATATTTATTTTAAAACGTTGTTGGAAATGACCTTCACGAATGGTATGAGGATTTTCTTGGGCCCACGTGTGAGTATCAATGAAATTTAATATCCCGTCTCGCGTAAAAGTACATTCGTCCGTCGCTAGAATGTTTTTAAAAAATTCCGGGTTTTCAATGTTTTTGTGCAAAAACCACTGTTAGAATGTTAGTCTACGAGGATAGTCTTCTGGTAATAATTCCTGCACTCGTTGTACATGGTAGGGATAAAGCAAATTTTCCCGTAGGATTCTATGGACTATGGTATGCGATAGTCCTACGCGGCGGCCTAATTCCCGAGTACTGATATCTGCATTGATTTCCACGATATTTAAAATTTGTTCCTCCCGCTGTACAGTAACCTGTCTTTCACGAGTGCGAATATTAGTGGGCTGAACACTTCCTGTATCTCACTTGCACAAATGTCCTTCTGTCTGGGTGTACCCGTTGGCGATAAATTTGAGCTGCAAGATTTGAATTCTGACGAGCTCCACCGTAAACTAACAAATGTCGGCGAACTCTTGATGCGAGAACATTGTAAATCAACACGACGACGTATGCGAACAAAAACAAAACAACATACTAACCACTGTTACCGTTTGCGATCAATTGCCGGTTCGATAAGAGTGATGAATAACCGACGCGCTGTTGTCATGTGTGTTTTAAATATTTAATGTAATGAAATTTACTTACTGACTACAAATTTTGGCTTAACTTAGAAAAACTTAATGCCATTTATTTGTTAATTACCCAATTGAAAAACGTTTTATATTAGATTATAAAAATTAGTAAGATTGTGGTCGATATAAAGCACTTAAAGTCGTAAACTATAAAGCCATTTAGACAAAAATCTATTGACTTTTGGACCATGGGTCATATGAACTTTTTGACCTGTTTTGCCCCCCCCCCCCTATTACCCATTTCAATAATGACTACCATAACGTTTACACCCTGTATATTGAGGCAAAAATTATATACTATAGGTATAAGAGATTCCTTTTTGAATTGGCTTTTCTCGTACATGTAGGACAGAAAACTTAAAGTGAACCTTGGAAGTACCATATTCGATGTGTATCCTGTTGAGCAGGGTGTCCCTCAGGGATCTGTATTTGGGCAACTGCTATTCAGCTGATACGAGGGTTGTTTCAAAAATATGGTTCCCAATGCTGTATCTTTGCCGCGCGTGAACTAGGCGAAATCTGGCAACACGTGTTTGTCGGCTCCCCCACCACCGATCCCAACAAGAAGCGCCTATTTGCGATGCTCAATATCGGCTCGGCAGTCATGCGCAATGGAGCCGATTATCGCCGTCACCGCCAGGTGGGAAATTCGTGCGGTCATCCGACTTTTTGCACGCAAAAACGTTACCATCCATATAAAATCATCACCAGTTGAGTGAAGTATATGGGAAACGTGTATAAGCATTCAGCGTTTCCTCAAATGGCGAAGAGGGTCGCATGGACATCCACGATGAACAACAGAGCGGGAGGCCGTCGACGTTCGAGGAAGTTATGGTGAAGATTGAGCAAATCTTGCTCGAAGATCGCCGAATCACGATCCGGGAACCGGCAAAATCATCGAACGGGAAAATTTTCCATAGCGTAAAACTGCACGACGACAATGCGCAACCTCATGTCTCACAACAAACGAAGGACTTGAGACTACAAGTTTCCAAGTGCAAAAGTGAATTCCACGTCTAAAAAATGCGTAGAACAAATGGCGACTATGTAGAAAAATAGCTCGAAGATCAACGTATCCAATGATTAAATTCCTTGTTCCTTAAAAAAATGTGGCAACCCTATATTTGAGACAACCCTCGTATGTAAGTGATTTGCCCGGACATATCTCTGATGGGCATATAACTATGTTTGCAGATGACATCACAATTACTATATCTGCAAAAAATGCTTACCAAAATTCAATGTATATTGGATACATTTTCATACTGGTGCCAAAGATATCGGCGAATCCGAAATTCAAGAAAGACTGTTGTAATGAATCTTAACATATACTACGTGACATATAAATCCGAACACCCAGTTTAAATGGTTTTATTTTAATAAAATTTTGTATAAGTACTTAATGAAGCATAATAAGTAAATGATAAAAATTTCAAAATGATTGCTTTGCTTTAAAGCCCTTTGACCTTTAATAATGTGTGGATGCACCCTGATGTGTTACGCATTCTCCAACGCGCCTAGGCATGCTTCTGATCAGGTGGTCAATGTCCTCCTGTGGTATCTGATTCCAGGCAACCACCAACTCCTCTCGAAGTGCTTCTAGAGTCTGAGGAGGACGTTGCAAATTGAGCAATCTCCTACCCAT